CTCGGGATGTTCTTACACATTACGAAGTGCTGCAGTGCTCCAGGTCGTTGGTTGTCTTATATTCCGAAGAAGTTCTCGATAGGTAGCTAACGTGTTTTCACATTTAATTAAATTACAAGATTTGCGCGAGTTTTGATAGCTTATTTTTTGCTTTCTCGCAGAATCTTGCAACAATTGAAGTCACCAGTCGCTAATCAACACGCTCGTGCTTTAGTAGTTCTCTTAGACATCTCATAAATAAACACTTTTCCGCCAGAGGTACGGAAATATATAGTTTTATTAACAAGTTCAACAATTGATATGCATACTGTTTTATTAGGATGATAGATCTCTGCAGAGAATCGCACTTAGCCTGCAGGAATCTTTCGGGGAGAATGGTGCGCTTCAAACGGTCGGGGCTATAGTGGCACTCGCGGCACGGCCAACATTTCCTCTTTTGCCGTCACAGAGGGCTAGATTTGTTCGCTATGGTTACATAAACAATGCGCAAAGTAAAATTAGATAATAATTAATTTAATAATTTAATAATTTAATAATAAATAATTTAATAATAGAGAAATTAATTTTGTCTTGTTAAGATAGGTGTCACACTGTGAAACGAAGAGTTCTAAAAAAACATTGTGGAATTACCTAGAAAAATTCGACTGAAAAATATTGGCTTTTTTTCATACAAAATATTGGCTTTTTTATGGCATACAGACGTCGAGGATAATCAGTGTCAGTTATCATTAAACATGGTAGGCTGGTAAGTTATTTGTATATAAAAAATTTTAGTCCTAATTATATTTAAATCCATACAATAATGAAAATATATAGTGACTAATGTCAAAACAGCCTATAAACTTACGCACATTTAATTATTTTTCGATTTAGCGATCGAATACTTATTTTGATGGAAAATTTCTTCAGCTTTTTAATGCCACTTTATTTTTTTGAGCTGTGATTATCAGTTTTTGTTATACAGTTAAATAACGTGCAGATGTCTTATTCATAACAAATTCAATTTTGGCTCATCCGCTCTTTTGGCATTAGTCACGCGATGTATATCCAAGAAACAAAATCAAATATCATCAAATATAAAATAAAATCTACCATTCTAATTTTGAATTATAGTAAAACATGCATAAAATTCGAATTTTGTTGTAAAAGAAGGAATTGATGACGTTAGGTTATTTAAAGTCTAGTAAAAGGTACAAAAGTTACGTGCATTCCCAAATTTCGTTTCCAAACTTTGTTTTTATTTTTTTCAATAAATAACAATTTTCGGAGAATTATATACCGACCGGAATTTTAACGGATTTATCGACACAACCCAGATCAGACAAACAATAAAAACAAAAGACTATTGAGACTATGTAATTTCTTCTGTTCGTTTTCTTCTCCTGTGTTTAGTATTATTATAGAACTCATTATTGAGTGAAAGTGTTCTGGATGTTCAAATAAAAAAGAAAGTATATTGTATTGAATGTATCACCGTGAGAGTAAGTTTTCGTTTAAAAAAATAGTGAAATAGTGTAGTAATCTTTGACAATTTTCCATGATCATAACACATCTGCCACATTAAACGATAATAATCTGGATCCATCCCAATAGGAAAATGGATAAAATTTCTAAAAGATATTTGCTCAAATATTATACACTAACTGCATCACGAAAGGAAAAAATTTCACAATAATTGCATTAATAATGTGCTTCGCCATAACGTAGCGGTTTTGTCGGGATAAAATTTTTAAATGATATTTGCCCAAAAATTGATATATTCAATTTAGAGTATAATTTACGCACAATTATTGTGTTATATTTATTATAATTGTGTAATATTTCATGTCATAACATTTCAAAATTATAATTTCAGAATAATTGTACATTTTAAAGCATACATATTGATTTATTTTATTTCACAAAATATTCTAAAAATAATAAAACTTAAATACATTTATAAATTATTAGAGGTAATTTCTTTCCAAATTTAATTTTGCCATTATTCCACTAAGATTTGCCATAATGCTGCTAGTTTTCTGAAATACTATTTAGAAATAAATTGTGCAAATATTTATCAATATTTGATGAAAGGTCTAAATTTCTCCATGTATTGTTGCTAAATATAGAGACATAATTGTAGCATTCCAAATTTCATTAAGATTTTGTCATATAATTTATAAATGTTTTCCTATCGGGGCATTCCATAAGTTATTTTTCTGATTGCTGTAATGAATATTGAGAGTATGTAATATTTTTTCTTCATTTTTTTTAGATGGGACGGCCTTGTAGTGTTCCTAACCGAGAAGCAATTCTGTTAATTCAGAAATATATGCAATATTTTAATACCAACAATTTTCCTTCGAGTTCTGCAAAAGTTTGGAAAGACATGAGCAAAGAGCTCAATGGAAGATGGAAACCGCATTCAGTTTATACATACGTAAGAGATAATAAAAATGGAAGTCTCGAAGCAGCTCGTCAGAATTTGGGTATAAATATCCAACCTCCAAGACCACTACCATCGAAGTCGACCATCGAAGATGATATCATTGATGAACTATCAGAGGATTCTGAATCGGACAAATCATCTTATCATGATGACGAGAATGGAGATTCTGACATTGGTGTTGATTCGTTCCCTCTAGTTCTTTCACC